AATTGAATGTATGCAATTTCACCTAGTCAAATGTGAAGCTGGACTATGGTGAGTTTTCAAGCTCTAACAAGCTGTAACTAGACCTGAATAAACTGCATGTATCTGAATTGAATTTGTCAATGCTGTCAGTGTTTCTTAAGCTTATAGTAAGGTGTTGCAGTTCGACTGGGGGCTCCTCGGGGAGTCCCCGGAGGGGCCTTAAGCTGTGAGTTGGCTGGTAGCAGCAGGCAGGCAAGGAGACTCCACACGGCTTCTGAGGGTGCTAATTAGATGAGGGTTTATTGGGAGTCCCATCCCCAGTAAATTCAATTCAACGAAATGTTGAGCCTTAGCCGTGTGGCTGCTGTGCTGGGCTTAGCAGGATGGACTCCTGGGGGTTTGTTAAGGGGAAGGTGAGTTAGGGAGAAGGAGCAGTGAGGAGAGAGAGAGTAAGACCAAGGAAGGAGGTCACAGAAATGATGAAAGTAGTTTTGGGGAGGTGCGGGGATCGGGCAAAGCTGAAAACTGTTTCTTCCTCATCTGGTGGCTCCTCCACAGAAACTGATGGGCTTTGGTTCCTTCTTTCCCACTGCTGTGGTCCAGGGCATCAGCTGCTGGGGCTCGTTGATCCGTGCAGCCCACTCGCTCTGCGGGACCCCCCTCCCCCCTGCCACCTCTGGGCAGGGGGAGGTGGCATTGGCTCCGCCATGGCGGGTCCTGGCGAGCAGCAGCTCTGAGGAGCCATGTGGCAGCCACGTGGTGACGGTGCCGCGAGCGGCGGGCTGAGTGTGCTCCGCGGCTTCTTTGGGGACAGGGCCGGGGCCACAGCGGGCTGGTGGTGGTGGGATGGCGGTGTGGTGTCTCGCGGAGACTCTGCATGGTGGTGAAGAGGCTGCTCAGGGCCACAGATGTGGCCCCACGCGGCTGCCTCATGGTACCGAAGGTGGCGCTGAGGCAGTGTTCTGCGGGGTTCTGCGCTGTGCCAGCAGGGTGATGGAGATACATTTTTGTCTTAGGGTTGTCAGTGTTCTTGCCACACATTGGTCGCCATTTGTTGCAGTTCCATTGCGGGGGGTCCCCGGGGAGTCCCCGGAGGGCCCCCTAAGCTGTGAGTTGGCTGGTAGCCGCAGGCAGGCAAGGAGACTCCACACAGCTTCTGAGGGTGCTGATTAAATAAGGGTTTATTGGGGGCCCCACCCTCAGGAGTGTCAGGGTCCGCTGTTATATGTCTCTGCCCCGACATGGGGAAAGGTGGTTCTGGGCGGCCGCGATTTCGAAGGATGAGTCTGGACTCTCAGATTTTCGGTCTTCAGTCCTGTTTATTATTTCTTATCTACAAAGTTTTTCTCTCTGCCCAGCTGAGGTCCGCTCAGCAGGACAGTCAAGTGCACTCTCCCCCGCCCACTCGGTAATCCCACAAGGAGCAGCATGGTTTGTGAGGGAGAAGGGGGGAAGGGGGAGGGAGGGGGAGAGAGGGAGAGCCTAGGGACAGAAGAGGCCAAGAGAGAGCTTGTGGCACTCGCACAGCTTAAGAGAGAAATTCAAAGTGGGCGTGGAATAAGACTTGGGCCAATGGGATTACAGATACATGAGACTTTAGGGGAGGAACACAGCTTGGAATAAACCGTACATTTTTGAGGGGTGAGACAGAGCATACCATTTAACTAAAATGCAGCACCACAGTAAGGAAACAGGGACATATTTCAAGGAAAGACCTGAACAGTCAGGACATGACATATGCATGCATATATACATTTATATGTATTTAAGGAGAGTGTGGACTACCTGTTGCTTAAATAAAATCTTCCATCACTCATAGGATTAAAAAACCATGTGATAAGTATACCAAAAATGGGGACCAGCATGGCTGGATTATATAATACCCAGCAGAACTGCTTGTCAGTGTCTCAGTTGCATCACAGTAATATTGAGCTGACTTCTCCACAGTCAGTCTTATCTACTAAGGTTTATTCAGGTAGCCAAGAGGTAACTGCTTACACTTGGACTTAGGAGTAAAAGTCATATCAGGGAGGGTTCATCGGCTCAGATTAACCCTTTGGGACTTCTTTGAGGGTGGGTTGTTGGTTTTATTTTCTTATGAAGAAAACTACAAATAATTAGACTATTTTGGTCCATATCAAAACTATTTTCTGGCATTCTCTTCCTTTGTGCAATTCTGATTTTACAAACTAAAAAGAATTTGTTGCTTTTTTCAGAAATGTTTGCTCTAATTATTGAGCTATTGTTGGATCAAAAATCCAACAAATGGGTATACAGAACTTGAAGATCCAAGGCTTTAAATGATGCCAAAGTTTCAACTCTGTATTAGCTCTTTGCAATACTGATAACAAGGCAGTTGTTACCAGTGAAGAAAAAAACCAGAACCATAAACTGTACCAATATTCAGTATGTGGCAAAAAGCCAGTATCTTTACACTTTTTCTTGTTAAAATGTTATGTCTTTTTGATGTGGGGTATTGCCTACATTCAGAAGGCCCTTACTATTTGTACAATATTTTAAAAAATGGCTAAAGGGCTCGCAGACTGCTGTTTCTGGAGCAATGCCTGTAAAAATACATCCCCACTCTTTGTTGATGCTGCATAACTAATGTGGAGAGGGGCAATGGCTGGCCAAGCACCTCTGCCCCTGAGTGTGCAGACCTGGCAAACATGGACTTTGAATTCTGCTGCAAACATGGTAACACAGGGGCTGGCTCTTGTCAGTTTCAGGAGAAACATGTGGGCGTGAAAACTTACTTTTGTTTTCTGTATTGCAAACTTTGTCCAGGCAGACATCTTCCTGCCAGCATTCCCTAAATCTTTTATGCTGTAAATACACTGGAGAACATAAAATGGAGAATGTGTGCATCCTTAAGGACAGATTCTGCACATATTTTTGAAGGTGAATAAAATTAACTGTTTCAAAGTCTATCTTGTGGGTCTCCTGGGCTGAGAGGAGGTTGTCACTCTAATTTTTATGGGGTCAGATGTCTTATGTTTTACTTGAAGAGGAAAATAACAACAAATCAAAGAATAAGCTATTCTTATAATTTTCTACAACCCTGTAAGTGGCCGGAGCTGGGACCATTTACGTATCCATATGTCATGGTTTGACTCTGGCTAGATGCCAGGCTGCCATGAAAAACCATTCACTCATTGTCCTCTGCTATAGTTGAGCAGAGAAGGGGGAAAGAAAAAAACCTGAAAGGCTCATGGGGTGAAATAAGGATTAGGAGAAAACACTTTAAGGGCAAAATAGGCTCGAAACTTAAAAGGCAAAAGGAAAAAATATCAACAGAATTAAAAGAGGAGAATGTGAACTAAAATAAACCCTGAGAGCACCCTTTCCCCACCCCACCCCAGCTCTTCCTTCCTTCCCTCCTACCAACAGTGCAGGGAGACAAAACATGGGGTCAGTTTTATTCGTCAGTTTTTTCGTCCATCCGTTACTTTTAAAAAATCTTTCTTCAGTTTGCTTAGGGAGAGGAGTCTCTTCTCTTATATTGTGAGGTCCTTCTCACAGGAAACAGTTCTTTGTAACTTCTCTAACATGGTTCTAATTTTCATGAGTAGCAGTCCCACCCGACCTGCTGTAAGTGAGTATCTCCCACGGACAAAGCAGTCTTCCCACAACTGTTTGCATGGGTCATTAGTTCATGGGATGTAGTCTTTTAAGGATGAGCTGTCTACTTTGAAAGCAAGGATCCTCTTTCTCTATCTCTAGGAGCAACTGTCTTCTGTCTTTCTTCAAGTTTCCTACTAGAATACAGCTTTTCAGCATCCACATGCTCCAGCATGAACACCTTTTCTCACGGGCTGTGAGTGGACCTCTGCATCCCTGCATGTACTTCACAAATTACAGGAAAACTGTTGTATTATAGTACTCACCATGGCTTGTAGAAGAATCTCAGCTCTGACAGCTGGAGCACGTCCTGCTCATCCCTTCTTTCACTGAACTTGGTGTCCCCATGTTGTTCTCATGTGTCTTCACCTTTTCCTTTTCTCTGACTTAGGAGAGAATTGGTGTCTGTAGGTTTGGTTGTTACCAAGTTCTGTCAGTTGAAAGGTACTTATGGGGTTGATCCTGTCCAGGCTCCGCACTGGGGAATTGCTTCTCATGACCCTTGCTGTTGGCCACGTGGTCCCCACTGGCAGAGCGCAGGTGGTGCCAGCTGCCGCAGTGCCAGCTCCATTCAGCACCTCTCTTCATGCGAGGCGCTGAAAGGAGAAGCTGCTGCCGCTGCCTCTGCCCTTCTGCCCTCAGCATGGTTAAAAGCAGCCAAGCAAGCATGGTTTGCTGTGGACCCTGCTGAGATAGCCCTGGCCACACGGTCCCAGCCACATTGGGAAGGGCCCCAGAGGCTGCCTTGCCACCCCTGCGAGGAGGAGAAGGAGGAATTGCATGTGGTTTTTTTCCGTCTTAAGTATGTCATCACAGAGGCATTACCAGCTCCTTTAATTGGCTTAGCAGCATGCTTATTTTCAGACCCAGCCCACAACTGACTTTGCCAGGCATAGAGAAAGCTTCTAGCAGCTTCCCACAGGAAAAATTACTTCTGTGACTTGCTTCTTCCTTCCTCACCAAAAAATCAAGTCATGCAAAACCAACACACTGTAATACTTTTCTTCTTTTCCCTTTCCTCTAAATTCTTAGAAATCCATTTTCTCTCAAAATTTCTAGAGCTTGCCAAGAGTTCTATAATTTTGCAAAGTTCAGCATGTTTTTTGACTTCATGTGTGTTCTTCCCACCACTTGGTTTGCTGAGCTGGGCTGTGCTCATTCTGCCCTTCATACTTCCCAGACCCCTGACAGCATCCTTCTGCGGGTTTTCTGATCCCAGGGTGGGGTCATAAAAGCCCTGGAACCCCCACCCAACTAGAGCAGGACAAGGTCTGTCCACGACGGGAGAACAAGCTCCAATGTTAGCCACACAGAGCAAAACTATGTTCTGTGTCAGTAATTCGTTAAAAAGTGTTTTTTTCCGAGCGTGAAGCAGCTGAAACTGTGTTTGTGGTTTGCAGAGATCCCCTTGGTCTTGTACCTCTTTGCCCTGATTTCCATCACCTGGCTGTGGGGAGGACTGCACATGGCTTACCAGCACCTCTGGATGTTAGTCTTCTTCATCATCTTCAACAGCCTGCAGGTAAGAGCCAGCATCTGGTCCTTTGGTCTTCTTGCTGACCTGGGGGTGTTTTCTCATGTTTGTCATTTTGGCTTCACCAGCTGAACATCATCCGGTAACTCACTGTCACAGTGTGGAAGTGTGTATTCTCTTTATTTCTCAAACTGACATATGGAATGCATATTAAAGCATTGTTTTTAAACAATAGCACTATAATTGCAGAGATTTCATGTCATAGCTAATACACTCAGAAAGAAAATTGCTTGCTTCTGTATGTATAATGCTACTGAGATAATTATACCAGTAAAAATGAAGTACCTGCAGCCTTTGCAAAATCACTATTTCAATTTTCTGTAGATGTTAATGATAATGATGATAATAATAATAGTAATCACACAAATATTTTAAATTCTTTAGCCCTAAGAAAGAATCTTTTTCTATTGTAAGAGGTGAGGCCTGAGGCTTAGTGTTGCAGTGGGCATGGAGTAAGACTTGGGCCAATGGGATTACAGATACATGAGACTTCAGGGCAGGACCACAGGCTTGAGATAAACTGTACATTTTTGAGGGGGAACAGAGCATACCATTTAACTAAAATGCAACACCACAGCTTATCTTTTCTGATACAGCAAATAACTTTTATTGAAAAAGGAAACAAATAAATACTAAATGTTCATCATTAATAATAAAAAATGTAAATAGCTCTTTCCAAAATTTTACCCATATAAGTGTTTGGAGAACCCAGTGCACTGGGTTCTCTAGTGCATTACACTGCATTTAATACCGTACTGCATATTGCTGAATTATTTATAGAATAATGGTTATTGTATCAGAGATGGGAAAATACCTCTGATGTCTGAAAACAGTGAAATTAGTGGGAGATTTAAAGTTATATACAAAAAACTTTGGAGGACAAGTACTTCTGGACTCCAGTATGCCCTTGTTATTTTTTTTTTTGAACAGAAAACTCTGTGACAACTTTTATTTCCCAATATTAAAAATCTGTATACCCCATAAAATAAAAATTAATTAACTAAAAAGGCATATTTTCACAAAATGGATTTATTTGAAATTGAAAATGTGAGCATTTCCTTAGGCAGTGTTAAAATACTTTTAAAATTACATCTCAGAAATAATTTTTTTTTAATTGAGAAAAAATATGTACTTTATTCTCCCTGGAATATATTTGATTTTTCTCTATATATTGCCATTTATTTGTTATATATATATATATTGACATATCAATATGTGCTTCTGCTCTGCTTCAGCAGTAGATGTGGTCTCTTTTGGCATCTTGCCTTAATGATAGTTCCTAACATCTGGGAAATAAGTGTATATGTCAACAGGCCTGCAGAGGTTAATGCAGCATCTCTATTCACATTATGTCAGTATTGATCTTCCACATGAGGAAAAGAAACCTTTTACTTTTGTTCTTTCTGGCCCAAGAGAATCAGTAAAATCTAAAATATATAGTAATATTTTTCTTTATTCAAAGGAGGTGAAAACATTTCAAATGCATAGTCTCTTCCTGTTTATTATTTTAAATTAAAACATGCATGGCTGGAGCTCCAACTCAAACAGTAGCAAACAAAAACTTTATTTTCAACTATGAGGAGCTTAATAAATTATACTCTGTGCTTTAAAAGTGGATTATTATCCTTTGTTGTATTTTTGTCATGTACAATGTAATAGAACAGTATCCATTACATTTTATAACTATTTACTAACTGCTTTTTTGAAGTATAAAGCTACCATGTACTTAAAAGGAAAAGAGCTTTTTGGTGTTGCCTACCCTGGGAGAAGTTAAAAAAAAAGAGTAGTTTTTTCACAGTTCTACAATTATTAGATTTGTTTGTTTTAGTAGATGTTTGTCTTCACTGCTTTGTAAATCTCCATAATAAAAGAAGTTTTAAAAATATTTCCTGGAATGCCCCCACACTTTAAATAACCATCCCATACGGACCATTCTCCTCTTTTAAAGTTACGATTTATCTAGTCAAGAAACGGAAAAGCTGATGTATGATTCAAGTGATCAGACATAAAGCATGAAATGAAAAACAGGGAAGGAACAAGGTGAAAAGTCTGCAAATTTCTTTAATCTATGCTGCTCATCAAATAATCAGATGCAACTAACAAACTCAGAGAAAATATCAGTATGCAAAGTCTTTGTGTAGAACAAAATTATGTATTACCAATACTGAATAAAAATGAAGGTTTTTCTGTGGGCAGGTGCAGCTTCAGAAAGGATTTTTATACCATGTTCTCACCGATGAGGGGCTGGTCTTGGGGAGTACACACTTCCTGCTGAAAGTCATTCTGACCCACAGGCTATGCAGAGCCATGTGTATCCAACAGTCCAGTGTTCTTTGAAAATTTAATCTCAGCCAATCTCTTTGTGACTGGGAAAGGAAATGGGACTTGATAGTGGATAACACATTTTCATAATGATAACAGTAGAAACTACCTGTCTTTGTTATGCATTCTGTTGGCATCTTATTCTCATGTCTTTGTCAGCTCTCAGAATTGGTGATTGTTAGAACAAGCCTACTTTTCTGCAATAAAAACTGGGTTTACCATGTATAGGTGAGCGTTTCTGTTATACAACAAGCTCTGTTTCAGCTGGAAAGCAATTCATTGCTCATTAAGAGTTTTTTTCATGACAGAAAAGAGGAGATGAAATAGTTTACAAGAAGTAGAGGCCTGGTTCCCTGCTGTCCAGAAGCTGTGGACAGTGTAAAGAAGCAGAACATGATCCATTAAAATGTGTTGGATATTCAAACGGATTCAATACAGGAGATTGAAAGGACACTGAATATTATCCATTGTGTTTGTTTAGCTTTATGACATGCATTTCCCAGGAAATGCACTTGCTTGAAAAGCCATCCACTCAGTACAAATTGTTTCCAAGCACTTCCTGCAGGAAATGGTTCTCATCAGAGACAAGTTTATAGTAGGAGCTATTCTAGTACATGGAGGGGAAAGTAACCCTTTCCCTGTAACTTCAGGAATAAATATGCAAATGGGAGGGCAATAGCTGATTTACAAAATAAAAAGTACATTTAGAAAACCATGAAAGAAAAAGAAGTGTGTTGGGTATTTTGAATTCCTTAGCAGTATGCACCTAATTGTCCTACCCAGATAGCATCTGTGATGCAGAAACATACTCCATTGCTCTTGCATGATAAGCCTCAGCTCCTCATCTTTTTACTTGCAAAACAGAAAAAACGTTTACCTCTTTTCTTAACTCACAATTGTCATTGTGGATTTATTAATGTGTTTTTCTGGGGTCAGGAGTGAAAGAATAAGCTGCTATCTTGAGTACTTCTCTCAAATATTTGCAATTTCACAAGCTCTTTTACATGCACTATACCCATCTAAAAATCACCATGTTTTTCCTGCAGTTAGGGGCGTGTTTCTGATTTGTGTAGCTGACATCAACAAAGGCCTATTTGCATTTGATGGATCCAAAGTTCAGGGCAGTGGGTGGATCTCTTCCCATTGTTTGCAAAATGGACAAAAAGAGGCTTCAGGCCTGTTCCAAGGCTATTCTCTGCAGCCGACTTTCTTAGTATAATCTAGATATTTCTTTGGCTATATTTCCAGCAAACTGCTCTATACACTTCCATCCTCTATAACATAAGAGCGTATCTGCACTGCAAACTACAAGTTACTAGGTATGTCACAGCTACCCATGTCACAGTTTCCTTGCAATAAGTCCCACCACTCCCCTCTCTCAGCAATAATTTAATTAATTTAATTTTTTAATAAGGAATTTTGAATTGAAACCTCACTCTTATGAAAGACTGTGATGCTACTCACCAGCAGTATAAAACCTCAATTTTTTCAGGAATATCAGGGGAAAAAATAAATGGCAACTGGTAGGTGGCCCATTATTAATGACAGTATTCAAAAAAATCCTTTTGTGTTTTTTTTTTTGGATGACGCACATAAGGGTTAAATGTCTGCTTGTTCTGTGTTTGAGCATAATGGACAACTCAGAGCATAATGGACAACTCATGTCCATGTAATAAGCATCAGTGTTATATGCAAAGTACTTCTTTTCAAGAAACACAGGAAAAATCTGGAAGAGTTGACTGGTGGTTTTACAAACTGGGCAAATGGGCTGACTGCCTAATGTAATGTCTCAGTTTACAAACAAATATCACAAAAAATTCTAAAAGTCAAGTTATTTGTAGTAGATTGCAATAAGAGAAAATTCATAAGTTCAGGTACAAATACCTGAAAAGCCTTTAACAAGAAATATGGGCATACAGAAAACAAGTGAACAGGTGCACATCCAAACCTGACATTGACTGGAGAAGATGAAATTAACCAAACTTCATTAATTAAACCAATTAATTAAAGTAATTGAAATAGCAGTGACAATAGTGACAATAGTAGCAATCCAGAATGGGAGGAAAAGCTAGCTTGAGTAGAAAGGGAGATAAGATATCAAAGAAAACTAGTATGTTGAAAAAAACCCCAAATATTATAATGAAACAGTAGAAAATATACTAAGAGAAATCAAGATGAAACAGTTTTAGAAGGAGAAATAAAGTTTTAAAAGTACCACATATTGTGATAGTAAAAAATGAGTAAAGATACACTGTTCTGTAAGCTGCTGCATTACATTATGCAGGAAAGCAAAAGTACACAGTTTATAAAGCTCATGCCAGTACCAGTCACAAATGAATTATGTATTTTTTCCTAGAACATACTATTCAACTCTGGGATGTAACCCAGGGACAGAGAGAGGGCCACCACTATATATAGGCTCACTTCCTGTGTCTTATGACGTCTTCTGAGAGCTTCTCTGCTCTGATGAGTCAGAGGTAAACTAGAAGATCCCATGCAGTGGTACAGATTATCAAAGCCACACAAAACTAAACAGAATCCAGTACTAGACAGACATGAGATGCAAGTAAATGTAGAAGGCTGCCTACAGATTTTGCAAAAGGTGATTCTACACTGCAAATTAGCCCAAGAAAAGGCAATGAAGCCCTCACAGTAATGCCAAGATA